TGTCTGTCTGGTTTTTTTTTTGTTTGTTTGTTTGTTTTTGTTTGTTTTTAAACAGACGAGTTAACCATCTGTCACTTGGGAAGTTTTTGTTTATCCAGACCATCCAGCTCCAGATTCATTGGTAGTGGTGACGGCCACTAAAAGAGCTGAAGGGTAGCAACTCCACTATACCATTTCAGCTAGAGAGGGTGAGAAGCTAGACTCTGCATGGAAGTATATTCTTCTCTGCCACATTTGGACATTACAGTGGCAACCTATCAGACAGTAGGGTCCACATACAAATATTAGTAATGGGAGAAAATAGCATTGTTTGTCCAGTCATTACCTGAGGACCAAAGAAAACTGGCCAAAGCTCTGACTATGCATGCTTTGAGAGCATCCTTCAACACTTCTGATGTGGTACACCTCTACCCCAATATAACGCGACCCGATATAACATGAATTCGGCTATAACGCGGTAAAGCAGCGCTCTGGGGCGGGGGGGGGGCTGCGCACTCCAGCGGATCAAAGCAAGTTCGATACAACGCAGTTTCACCTATAACGCGGTAAGATTTTTTTGGCTCCCGAGGACAGCCTTATATCGGGGTAGAGGTGTATGTAGAGCTGTTGTGCCATTCATGATTAATTTGAATAACCACTCATGCCTATATTCATTTGGACTTCATCTGGAAACAAAAATCCAGCTAGAGTATCTCCCATTTGATAGTGAAGTGCTGTTTAGCTTTTGAACTGACAGAGTTCTAGAGAAATTGAACCTGCAGTGTCCCTGAGGATTTTTCAGAAAAAGATCTTATGTACCAGCCTTTTGTTACCAGAGGCAATCATATCCTTCCTCTACTTCCTGTTCATTTATAATGAAGCAGTACCAACAACAGCCCCATATTCAGCTACAGCATAGAAGCAAACTCTATAAACCATGGGCTAAAGGAAGACCTGCTGCACCATCTCCCTTTGTTCTGGCCCCTTTTACTCAGGTTTTACAAGACACATGAGTAGCCCAGATCAGTTTTAAACCTACAAGTTGCTGTCCCTTCATTTTAAAACTACATCTCCTGTTTCTTAGATCCTTGGACTACTATCACCATGGATCTTACAGATTGTCCAGCAGGATTACTCCATTCAATTCTACGCACTCCCTCCCTTCCACCCTTCTTACCCATCCCTCTTCAGGAACTCTTCTCAAGAGAACTCACTAAGATCAGAAGTCCATTCACTACTAGAGTCAGGTGCCATAGAGGAAGTTCCTGAAGAGTTTGAGGAGAAAGGCTTTAGTCCAGGTACTTTCTGATCCCAAAAGAAAGATAGAAGTCTCTGACCCATTCTAGACCCTAAGTAGCTGAACTTTTTCTAGCTTCAGTTATCCCCTTCTTATCTGCCCAAGAAAGGTTTGGGGGTCCTTGATATCTTGATCTTTAGAGCTTTTTTTTTTTTTTTCCACATCTCAATCAGACCTTCATATTTGAGGAATTAAATGCAGTGTGTTAGACTTTCAAGTCCTTTCTCTCTCAACTATAGAGCAGAGTGGCTCAATTAGTTACTGACAATACTACAATATTTTACACGAACAAGCAGACTAAAGCACATTCCAGCCAACTTTGCGAAGAGGCCATAGCTCTAGGGCAGTGGTGCATGCTACAGCAAATTCATCGTATAGCTCACCACCTTGTAGACTGGGACAACATAAAGGTAAGTCAGCTGAGCAGAGGCTTACACAATCAATGCTAGTGGTCACTCAAGAATTCAGTAGAAAATTACATCATCTCCCTGTGGGGGTATAGATTGAATAAGAATTAAAATTGGATTTATGCTATTGTTGGTTGCCCATAAAAAGAACCTTTCCTACTTGTGATCATAACACTGGACAGTCTAAATCTTCAGGAGATAGACATGATTGCAATAAGACACAGTTCCAAATGTCAGAGGTTTTGCCCCAGAGCCGGAACAGACAACCAGTCCATTTCAGATGTTTCTTCTAGACTGCAGGGTATGTCACTTCTAGGTGTTCCCTCCAATTCCTCTCATTTAGAGAGTCCTCAGGAAAATCAAACAAGACAGAGTCAAGATTGTTTTGATTGCCCCAGTGTAGATGAGAGAAAAATGGTTCTTGGATCTCCTGCAACTATCACAAGACTATCTGTCTCTCCCCGAAATTCCAGGCCCAGCAGATAGGTTGGATTTGTCATCTGGACTCAGACCCTCTCCACTTGAAAGTATTGGCCTTAGGATTTTTACAGATCTAGACTATCCAGTGTTATGATAGCAAATGGGAAGGGTTCTTTTTATAGGCAACCAACAACAGCATAAGCCCAATTTCAGCTCTTATTCACTCCGTGCTGAATTACTTACTTCATTTGAAATCATTGGGATTCTCCATATCATTGGGAAAAGTACGTCGTTAGCCATCTCTGCTTATATCATAGCTTAGTAAAGCAAACGACTGAATTCAGCCATGATATAGTAAAACAATTTTTGAAGAGGTTAATAAATGTCTACCCAACAGCGAACCTGGATTTACATGGTACCTCAATCTAGTATTTAGTCAGCTCATGAAACCTTTCTTCAAACCTATGGGAGAATGAAACTAGGGACACTTTCAGTTAACACAGCTTTTACTGTAGCTACTAGTGAACAAGCTGTAGGCGCTCATGGCTAACACACACACACCGCTTGCAGTCTGTCACAAAGATAAAGTGGTCCTTTGTCTACACCTGATATTTCTCCCCAAGATCATAACATAATTCCATCTAAACCAGTCCATAAAATTGCCAGTATATTTCCATAGATCTAACACTCACTTGGGAAGTTAAGTTACACACTTTAGATGCTAAGAGAGCATTGATAAGTCTAAGGAATATAGGAAATCACCTAGTGTTGCAGTTCCAAATGAGAAAAGAAAAGGGAAAGACGTAACTTCAGAAAATTTCATCCCAATGCCATTGTAAGTTGGTTAGATTCTGTACTGATGTGTGTTTTAAACACATTGCTGTTCCTCTTCCAGAAGGGCCTGGAGTATACTTGGCTAGAGTGAAGGCTATGTCTATGGTTTGCCTTAGATGTTCCCATATTAGAAATCTGTAGCGTTACCACTTGGAAATCAGTTCATACTTTCACAAAACGTTATTCTCTAGATCTAGCATCTAGAGCAGATGCACAATTTGATAAAGCAGTATTACATTCTCTATTTAACTAGACATCCTTGTCCCACTGTCCAGGGAGGAGTACTGCTTACTAAACTCCAACAAGTGGGAATGTGTAGAGGTCATTTCAAGAAGAAATGAAGGTTACTTTGAGATTAATTCTGCACACACTCACTCCCTGCCAACCTTCCTTACTTGGAGTCCTAATTTCAGCTTTGGACTTAAAGAGGTGGTGAAAGGCACTTAAGTGGTCACTGCACTATGCCCTCTCTTGTGAATGTTCAGAGGACATAGCTATAACAGCAAGGAGAGGGGCAGGAGACAACAAGAAGTCTTCAATAGGCACAGCTATTAGAAGTTTTCTCCAGTTCAAGATGCACCATCGGTGCGCCCTAAGAATGTGAGTGTGCAGAGGTCATCTCAGAGAATACTGTTTACAGGTGAATCTTCATTTTTAAAACTTTGAAAGGTGTGTCTCATGCATTCAATCCAATTAGAACTGCATTTTCTGCACCTTAACCTTCATCACTGTCAGTATGGCAGCTTCCTATTCTGTTAATTATTATTTTTATTACATGCAAGAGACTTTATTTTTTTTTAAAAATAGTGATTTACTCTTTCGTTATGAGGTGTAGTGTAATCTGTAGTGATCTTTAGTGGGGCTATTAGATGCTACAATAATACAGATAATAATAATATACAGTAATCTTCATTAAAGTTTTTCTGCAAAACAGAAAAATTTTGAGATTTGGAGAATACCAATAGTTGCTCCATAGTCAGGGTTAAAGTCTCTGGAAATTTATTTTCTGTTTAATAGGCTTCAGTAGAGTACACAATTTTAATTCGCTAGCAAGTACATAGTTATAAAGCATGATATGTCAGTGCAACACACTGAACTGAGTTGACAGAACAAGGAGTAATGGTCTCAAGTTGCAGTGGGGGAGGGTTAGGTTGGATATTAGGAAAAACTTTTTCACTAGGAGGGTGGTGAAGCACTGGAATGGGTTACCTAGGGAGGTGGTGGAATCTCCTTCCTTAGCAATTTTTAAGGTCAGGCTTGACAAAACCCTGGCTGGGATGATTTAGTTGGGGATTGGTCCTGCTTTAAGCAGGGGGTTGGACTAGATGACCTTCTGAGGTCCCTTACAACCCTGATATTCTATGATCCTATGAGGTTGATTTTATCAATGAAAATAGATATTTAAGTATCAAATGGTGTTAGCCCTTGAGAAAGATTGAATGGAAATTCAAATGTTTAAATAAAAAACAACTCTGCAATCTGTAATCTTAAATGTAATTTTACATTTATTCTCTTAAAAAACAAACTATTTTCTCCTCCCTCATTGTTAATAATTGTTACTAGACATCCTGTGTTCAGTTGGTGATGTTTGGAATGTTCACTTAATCACTTTATTGAATGAACTTCACCAAAGATTTGATCCTGCACTATTGAAATCAATAGGAACAGCATCAGACCCTAAATGTGTTATATTATTAGAGTACTTTGGGTAAAATGAATATGATATGACTTGTTTTTATTCTACATTGTTTGAGATTGCAAAAAGTGTTGAGTATTGTGGATGTTTAGAAAAATATGATAGATGGCTTTAACTGGAAAACCCTTGTGATGTTTTTATAAATAGTGTATACTTTTTTTTTTTAGTGATCTAGTCATCTTAAACTATATCTCATGCTCAACTTCACTTTTTGCCTAATTACGTATGTAGCTTCCACTTTTTACTGGCCAGTTTTACCAACCTTGTAATTTTTACTAATGGCTAGATATAGTTGCTTCAAGCAGAATAAGGAGCTGTGCATTTTAGTAGCTCATTTGTTGGTTACTTACTTCATTCTTTTTCACAGAACAGCAAAAACTGGAGAGCAGCAGTTGATCTGTGTGGACGACTTCTGACTGCCCATGGTCAAGGCTATGGCAAAAATGGGCTACCTACTAATCATACAACAGATTCTTTGCAGGTATGGTCACCTTACAATCGTGTGGTGGTTAAGGCCCCATTCCTGTAAAGGAATCCACATGGGCAGACTCTTGAGTGTATCAGAACCCTTTGCAGGATCAGTGTCTAAAGTTGTACCCTAGTGGTACACAAAAGAGTTCTCCCATCCAGTTATATGAAAGTAGATTTTACTTTAAATGACTGCATAATAAAAGTAAGTTGATTACACACATTTGCACATAGCACACTTAATTTCTTTTGACTAATGTGACTATCTCCAAAGGTCCATGCTGTTGTTGTTCTTCATGATCATTATAATTAATTATGATGGCTCTTTAAAACGGACAATCTATACAAATGTTAATCTGGTTATTTTAGATAATGTTGATTCAGATGTTATAAACATGTTTTGTTATCATGTTGAAGTAAGTTGTTAAACTTAACTTTTAAGAACCTTAAATCATTAAAACTTCATGGGAAAAAATGACATGTTCAGATTTATAAAATGTGACTGGCTAACAACACATACCACTCTTCTGATTCTTTTCTGCTAGTAACTAGCAGATCGTGGAAGTTCATGAAAGTCATAGCAATTTTTAAAAATAGCAGAAAAAAGGAAAAATGAAAATACAAATCTCAAACATAAATTTATTGAATTATAGTGATCTGAAATTTCTGGTATAATAACTTGAAAATTGTAATGAGGCTTAGAACAAGGTTTGAAATATTGGCCTGTTGTGATAATTGGACCTAGCCTAATTGTGATCTCGACTGTGAGAAGCGAGTATAGATTATAAAGTGTCTCAATAACCTCTAACACCAAATGTTGGGGAAAAGGTGCAAAAAGGAGACAGGCTGAATTAGTCCAAACAAAAAGGCTTACTGATATAACTCAAGAACTTTGTTAAGATCTAAGTTCTTGAGTAAAGAACTAAGTATGGAAACCGACATCAATGGACTCTAATTGATGTGTTGGAAACTAGGCCTAATTGGTGGACAAGATAAAGAGGAGGTGGGTTATTCCACCCATCACTCCCTTTTGAAGTCCTTAAGGAAAGAGACTTTGGGAGAAAAATTGGCTACTGGAACAATCTTCACCCTTTCATCCCCTCTGTCTCCTGGGACCTTGGGCCTCCGTCATCCTGATCCTAAGAGGTGTCTCAACTAGACCAGGCCAGAGAGAGGGTAGCAAGTGGAGGGTAGCAGTGGAGGTGCAGAATTCCCCCAGGAGTAAAGCAGGAAAGAGCAATCTCTCTCCTCCACTTGCTACCTGCTTTCCCTAGGTGCCTGGCTAGACTGGATGTAAACTACCTTGTGGGTGTTACCACAGTAGCAAACACATTTGAAATATAGGTACATAATCAATATTCATAACTTCAGCTACTAACATGATACGTGCATGCAAATAGGACAGTCATATTCAGCAAACCATAACTTTTCCATTAACACCTTACATGACATATTTTGTACAAGATTTGTTGTAATTACATAACAGTGGTAGCAACAATAATCTACATAATCATATTTTAATCATACAACGTCACAACCAGAACAACAGTTGTTACCATCTTTAGTACCATCTAAGGGATGCTCAGACAAGGAGGGTGTGGGTTTTTTTTTTTCCTTCTGAAGACTCTTCAGCTAAAGGCAGAGGGAGCAAGGATGTTGTTAAAATGAAAGCCTTATTTAATATTTTACATTTCAGATGCTTTAACTGTTTTTCCTTCTTAATTGTGTGTTCACCAAGGTACTAAACAGGCTGAGGTCTCTGTATACCAAACCCCAAACTCTGTTTAAAATTGTTAAGTGTTGGACAGTTTTAGGGCTGTTTTGGGTTCTTTGGGCCCCTTTATTCTATCTAACTTAATGATACAGATCTCTCTAGAAACTTCCACTCAAGGGCCCAATACATCACAACTGATCAAAATATCATTTTCCTGGGTTTTACTCTTTTGTTAACTTTTTCAAAACTGCTATATGACAAGCATATATATTTTACTCATGCAGATCTGAGATTAGTTTTTTGACTCTTTAATTTACTAGACCTGAAATGATTCAAACACTGAGAGTAATTTTTAAGTTTGATTTACAATAGAAACCGATAATTGACCTGGCATTTTCATATTTGTTGCCATTTTAGCTATGGTTTGTGAGACTAGCACTGTTGGTGAAGTTGAATCTTTTCCAAAATGCAGAATTGGAATTTGAACCATTTGGAAACCTGGACCAACCTGATCTCTACTATGAATATTACCCTCATGTATACCCAGGACGCAAAGGTAAGGCACTTGGTTTATACTATACTTTTATCTCAGCTGTGAACAATCTTCTCCTCATCGTTAAGTACACAGATTTCAAATAAGGAACCCAAACTATCATCCATTTTTTAAATGGAGTGAACTTCTAGCTGCTGCTTAGAAGAAAATGATTAATGGTTATGCTAATGAATTTCTTATAGAGAAAGGATAACAAGAGCTTTTAATTTGTAGGCAGGCAGAGTTCTACGTATAATCCAGTACAGTAATATAGCATCTGTTCCAGAGACACATGGTTTTAGTTGGTATTTTACCCTTAATTTAGTGATCACATTTTATATATAGTTTTTATCTAATTCACTTAGAATTAAAAAAAATAAATAAATACAAATAAAAGGTAGTAGTATATGTGTTTCTGGTGGGGAAGTGGGCAGATGTGCATTGACAAAGTCACACAGAATGAGGAAAAAAGGATTCCTGGGTTAAAGTAAATTATCTCTTTTGCCTTTCCTTCCTAAACTCATTCAGTGTGCTGTGAACAGGCAAAATTTGCAGGAGTAATATACATTTTAAGAGTTGAGTAGAGGAATAGGTAGTGAAGAAAGATTAAAAGGTAGTAAAAAAAAGAAATATTGACTTATTCTTAATGCCAAAGGGGATAATATTATAAGCAGGTTACAAGCAGCTAAAAACAAAGTGACGTATTAACTATAGTATTAGTATTATAATTTTAAAATATAATACCACAGTCTGGATAAAAGGAAAGTATAATACCAATTACAATATATAGAAAATAACCTGCTTCTCATACTGTACTACTTGTACCTTTTGTTCAATGTATTCCAACGCTTTTCTTAAAGCTTTTTGAAACTGATTGAAAAATGTTAGTTACTGTAAGAAAAAGGTGTAAAATTAAACTGAGCTAATCTGAGAATTAGAAATTGTTTTCATGAAAAAATACTAATCAAATGTGATATTAACCACCTATTTAGTAATTAAAACTAAAAGGATATTAATAATAGGGATCACCCCAGATCTTTAGACAAATTCTGCTGCTGCATGAAAAAATATTGCTAATATTTTAAGAGATCTCTGTCCTCGTGTTCATGCTGTCTCATTGAGGAGGTTCCATAAGTTTCAAGTATCACTGTTGTAGTTCAAAAAGTGAACTTTTACTAACTATATATAGGTGCTTTTCAGCGTTTTAAACTTTAATAACACCACAGCATTGGTGCTAGATGATCCCCAGATTTATCATAGTTCTTTATTAGAACAAAAAATTCTTGTCCAGTAATTCATAAGCAATAAAGTAGTAAGAGAGATGTTTTATGCTCCACTTGAACAATCTCGGGGAAAAAAACATAATCTGTTTCTCAAAGTGTTGAGAGTAGGGTTATTTATAATATCACAGAGTTACAATGTATTGATCCACATTCTCCTCCACCCTGAGTATTAAATTTAAACTGGTTCTTGTTACTTAAAGTGGTTGCCATGTGGCAGCAGGATTTTCATTTTAAGTAGAGACTAGCTCCTTTGTCCAGCACTACATGGGAACCCTCCTGTTCTTCTCTCTTACTAGGCATAGCAGCCTTCCCAACTCCATGAGTTACTTTCCACAATATTCTAATTCATAGTTGATAGCCATTAGTTGCCAAGGAAGGATGTCAAGAATATCCAGGATCCTTCACATTTATAGAAAAAGATATTATTTAATGCAGTGCATTGTATGACTTTATTTCTTCCATTTAAGCCTCTCAGTAGACCAGCATGGCCAAAAAAGACCAGTTTGGACTCTCTCAAAAGCCAACTCTCATAACTGAGGGGCAATCACCAAACAGAGTCATTGACAGTGAACTTGGCAGAGATTCTGTGTAGCACCTTTAAAATACATAACATAACTCGCAGGACATCTTGTGTGGATTATGGTGGCTTTAAGCCATCTATGAGCTCTTGAAGTCCTGGGCTGTTCTGAGGTTTGGAGAGGCCCTTGATGTAACTTATACTGCCTTGGAGGCCCAGAATCTCCACAGTGCTGTAAGCTTTAGCTGTTTCCTTCTCAGCACCCTTCTACCCCAAGGTTTGCAAGAAGTTCCTTAGGAAGTGGGTTTCCCAAGTTCTTACACTAGGGGAATTCTCCCTAGCTGGATATGGGGCTTGTAGGGCCTCTTTTTGTCACTCTGGCTTTTTTAAGCTACATAAAGGGGCTAGAGCGGGGATGAGGATCTCACTCCTTATCTCCAAGCTTTCATACTTTCTATTTTTTTGTTTTTATTTTTTTTACATTTTGATGCTTTACAAGTATTTTTCTTCTTTCTTGCTGTGTTCCTCAGGATGTGATGTTAGCAGTAAAGGTGATATGTTGACAACTTCTTCAGCTTTAAAAATAAGTAATTTTAGCCCAGAAAAAAGTGTCTATAGTTTGTGCCAACGCATGAGGGCTTTTAGCCACAGGAGAGTTTCGAGTAATATGCAGCATTTAGATAGTAGACTGTATATAGTAGGCTATTCGGCAGATATTGCATTGACTCCTCCTGAGACTGGATATGAAATACTCTGTTTCTGCAGTGCCATTACACCCAAGATCTGAAATGTCTTTCTCTAACAACAGCTTGTCATGAACTTCATACAGTTGCTAAAATTATCTGTGGTGGAAGGTATGAGTTGTCGGTGAGCATTCTATTTCAAGCTTACATATCTGAGGTGCCAAGACCATAGAATGAAGATCTTACAGCAGGGAGATTTTGAACTCATGCCTCACTTCCTATTTACAGTAAGGCATATCAACCTGCCCTTCTAAGAGAAATCAGATGAAGATTGTATGGCGCTGACCTGCCTCTTATAAAGTTTGGGCTGAGTACTAGATTAAGGCTTGGAAGCACCTATCAAACTTTCATGACTCAAGTTTGTGAAGCGAACTACACTGTCTTGCAAAGGACATGAGACAGAGCAATTCTGATTCTGCCTTCAATTAAATTACACAGTGTTGGGATATGAATAAAAAGAAGATAGATTCTATGCATCATTAACCAGCTAATTTAAATGATGAACATAAATCATACATATATTTTAGCTAAAGTGCATGAACATGTATCCACAATACACTGCTGTTTTCTAATTTTTCTTCTAATTTTGTGGTGTAACAAGCATAAAAGTAAGAATTTTTTATTCACAATATATAGCTGAAGCAAGTGATTAAAATGCACTTTAAGAAGAGTGTATATATACAAATAACTTACACAAATTAGTTTTAATACATTTATTTTAAATAGTGTGCATAATATCTACCCATTGAAAATATTAATAACAGGAAATTTAATAAATTACTAACTGAAACCATTTGCTTTTTATGCTCCAGCCAAGAAATGTTAAATATTTTTCTGGGCTGCTTTTAACATCCTTTGTTCCTGCAGAATTGGATAGGCTTGCAGCAGAATATAATAATAATAATAAATATAATATAATAAATGGAGATATCCTATCTCCTAGAACTGGAAGGGACCTTGAAAGGTTATTGAGTCCAGCCCCCTGCCTTCACTAGCAGGACCAAGTACTGATTTTGCCCCAGATCCCCAAGTGGCCCCCTCGAGGATTGAACTCACAACCCTGGGTTTAGCAGGCCAATGCTCAAAGCACTGAGCTATCCCTCCCTCTGAAATCAGGTTTTAGTTCTTACCCCCTTAATTTCCCTTCTCCTAATTTAGCTCCCACTTCCCATGGAACCCCACTGGACTCTGTCGTCTCTCTTATACACCCTGTGACGATGCGGTTCTGGCGGGACCCAACTGAGAGTGCCAATTCAGGACAAATTGCTAAAAACAGGGCAGTTACAGCCCAAGGCTGGGGTTTTTCCGCCTCTAAGGCAAACCAAACCAGCCAGACTAAGAAGTCTTCAGTCTCACCCCACTGGCTAACCACAAGTCACACAAGCAATTCCCTTAGACACTCCAGTTTCCCAGTATCGCCACCAGTGCCACTCGTTATGGGGACAAATGATTATGAAAACCAATACCCCAATAAAAGAAAAAAGGTTCTCCTGATCCCATAGGACCAACCCCCAGATCTAGGTCAATATACAAATCAGATCTTACCCACAAATCACGCTGTTGCCAATCCTTTAGAATCTAAAATCTAAAGGTTTATTCATAAAAGGAAAAAGATATAGATGAGAGTTAGAATTGGTTAAATGGAATCAATTACATACAGTAATGGCAAAGTTCTTGGTTCAGGCTTGCAGCAGAGATAGAATAAATTGCAGGTTCAAATCAAGTCTCTGGAATACATCCCCAGCTGGGATGGGTCATCAGTCCTTTGTTGTAGAGCTTCCGTTTGTAGCAAAGTCCCTCCAGAGGTAAGAAGCAGGATTGAAGACAAAATGGAAATGAGGCATCAGCCTTATATAGTCTTTTCCAGGTGTAAGAACACCTCTTTGTTCTTACTGTGGAAAATTACAGTAAAATGGAGTCTGGAGTCACATGGGCCAGTTCCTGCATACTTTGCTGAGTCTTAAGGCATATTTACCTTCTCTCAATGGGTTCATTGTGTAGCTGATGGTCCTTAATGAACCATCAAGCAGGCTAGGCAGAGCTAACACCAGCTTGTCTGGGATGTCACCCAGAAGCATAGCATAAGTTTGAAATACAGACAGTATAGAGCCAATATTCATAACTTCAACTACAAAATTGATACACACATATAGACAGTATAATCATAACCAGTAAACCATAACCTTGTCTTAGACACCCCATTTGACCCCCTTTATACAAGATTTGGGTGCCACTACAGGACCTTGGTTGCAACAATGATCTATATGGTCTCAGATTATATCAATAACGTCACACACCCTATCTTGCGTTCTGTTGCAGCTGATACTCACAAATCTACCTCTTTACTTCTAACTTGTCTCCTTCAATCCAGTCAGACATCTGTCTTTGTCTCTGACATCTCTTCTTTGAATACCTTTGTATTACAGCAGTGCTTGGAATCCTCCAACTAAGATCAGGGCCTCATTCTGCTAGGCGGTACAA